AAGAAACAAACTCTTTCAAACCATACTTTCATGTTTATAACAATAATGAACTTCTGGAAAGAAGCTAGAGAAATAGTTTTTTTTTTTTTTGTGTGTGTGAAATGGATAACTAGACCTTTCATAATAAATTTATCTGTAAATGCCCGAAACTTTAAAAGAAATGAATTTATAATTTAAATACAGAAGCGAATAATAAATTTAAAATTTATATTTTTTATACAATAATTTAAAATGTTCAATAGAGTTATGAGAATGTCTTTTCTAAAAAACAAACGGTAATTAAAAAAAAGCGAATAAATAAACATTGTAGAACAATCTTCACTAGTAATTGAAAGGAAGTTCGGGTGATAAACTATTCACAATCTTTTTGCTGTTTGGGATATGGATCTTGATGTTCTTAATATAAAATGTTTAATGAAAATATGAGTTACACTATCTCAATAAAAATATCACACTAATAACAGATACGGAAAATTTAAAATTAGTAAAAATTAAAAAAATAACTAATGGAGCCATTGTTTTAATTAAATATATTTAACTTAAAAACGTTTGTTTGATAATTATTGTTACAAATTTTTCAAAAAATATTCTATGAGAACTCATATGTATACCACTTTTTATTTTCATGTATAAGAGAATATGAGACGATAATTTTCCTTTTTTACTTGCTTACTTGTTCCCTTTAGGATCCATAGGGATGTTCTCCTACTCGTGAACCCAATATCTAATTTTAACAATTAATTGGCCATCTCTATACCCCGTTTGGTAACGAGCACTGAATATTCTATCGTCTTGATACCCCGTCCGGTATGAGGGTGAATCATATCTCCCAAACCTTTCTGGTATAGAACTTCCCAGAACCGTTCGAATGAGGTGACATTCACAGTAGGGTTTTTTAGGTACCGGGTCCCGTCCGTCATTTCCCTAGGTACCTAGTAAGTTTTTCACATAAAGATTTTCATCAAGCAAAACAACCAATAAACGCATACCAATATCTCCTATTATATTTATAAATCAATTAGACGATATTTATACAGACGATATAATATATCATAACAAAGGATCGAGTAACCAGATAACCAAATAAATCAAATAAATCGATAAGACTATTGAAACTAATAATTAAAAACATGTACAATAGGATAACAAGTAAGTAGGACAATACAAGAAAATAAATAAGAAATCAGAACAATTATGAAGTAAGTAGGACAGTACAGGTAAATAAACAGGAAATCAGAACAATTGTGAAGTAAGTAGGACAATACAGAAAAATAAACAGGAAATTAAAATAATTGTGAACTAACCGATTCCAGGTCCACTAGTGACTTGTAATTATTTTAGGGTTTTCTAACTTTTCACAAAAATACAAAATTATACATAATTAAACTTCAATTTACCGTAACGGGGAATAGAGTGAGAGATTCTTACCTGAATTGGTATTTTGAGACGTCGCGCTGTTTAGTATGCCTCCTAACGGGTACCAAATTTCCTGAGTTTTTCATGCAAAATTCAAAAAACTCGTCACGTACAAAAAAATACTACAAAAATTTAAAATCGGTGTCTAAAACTCTTTCCAACAAATTTTAGAGTTTCGACACAGTGGCGTTGCCGTGCTCCGGTGCTGGCTCCATCGCCCACGGTGACAGTTCGCCTCGGCCTAACCGATTTTAGCTAGTTTTACACGTATCCCTGCAGGAAAATACGTAAGGAGGACTCGGTTGGTCAAAAAATCACAAAAAATCGAATTTACCGGCCGGGGGGGGGGGGGGGCTCTGGATGCAATGGCTTTGTCGGTTCTCCTTCGCGGCTAGGGCTCCTTCTTCAGCTAACATGCACATAAAGGACAATGAACACAATAATTAAAAAATAGCGTGAAATAGGAAGCAGAAAGGGGCTCATCGGAGAAATTTTTTTGTTTTAGTTGCGGCGGCTCCGCTAGTTTTTGCCCACAGTTTTTGACTCACTTGTTGTTCCTTTTGCTTCGATATAGCCACAGGGATGCTTGGAATTGAATTTCGAGTGGGTATGAGAAAATTTTACCTTTTTTGGCGGTCGGTAGTGGCTCCGGTACAACGGTGGTCGGTAGTCGGCTTTCTTTTCTAGCGGGGGCTGGCGGATAGGGTTTGAGTTCTCCTACGACGCGAGATATTTATACTCATCCTGTATCGATCTGAACCATTTATTGCGATTGATCTCGTCCATCTGATCGTACTTAAGGAGAAAATGAATTTGAGTCGTTCACGCGCTCGGGATTGAACCTGAGCCATCAGATTGCTAGACATGCAAATTGCCCGCGTGGTGCCGGCGTCAGCGTGTTTTGACACGCAGCGTACTCCGATTCGTCAGAGCTGTTGAGTAGACCATCCCACATGGTTGAATTTTTTTTTTTTTTTTTTGTATTTTAACCCCATGTTTTTAATTTATTTTTCAAAAACATCTTTCTAACTTTAATTTTTATTTATTTTTTTTAAAATTATTTTTAATCTCATTCTCAATTAATTTTTTTTTCAAAAATTAAATAAAATAAAATTTAATAAATTAATTAATTATTTTAATTAAATAATTTTATAAAAAAAAAATTTATCTCGAATCGTTTTTTGAGACCGGATATTACATTGCCTGTCATTCACTCTCACTTTAGGCTCTTTAGATTTGGTAATTTTATTCGTAGAACCAAGAAGATTTAAGAGTGACTGTCGAAAGGAGAAAGTTGGCCGTGGGAGAAAAGTGATTTTTGCGTGACTAAAATTAAAGAGACACCATATGAAGTGCTCTTTGGGTTTCAGCCTTGTTTGTCTTTTTGCATTATGTATTATATATATATCAATACATAAAATAATATTTTCTTCCCAGTTTGTTTTGTCCATTTGCATTTTGTTGCATCTCATGATCAGGACGATATTATGTTGGATTCTTACAATTGAAATCTTTGTGATGTCTCAGATTCTATTGTCGTAAAAAATGTAAAGAAACATCAATCAATCACTTTTTCCTCTCTTGGTTTGTTTTTGTTATTTGGTAACATCAGCCCATTTGTTCGTCTTCTTTACACAGATCTGTTCAATCTTACTAGTTCCAACGTGAATCTACAGTTGATTGCCGCTCCCCTCACCTCCAAACTTCAAATGTCATATAATTTTATTTCTTATACTATGTCCGATTTACTCAGATTTTTAAAATATATTATACGATGATGTTATGTGTTAATGTATAAATAATAGATGTAGTTCGTTCTTGCCAGATTAAGTTGTTCGGAGGATTGGTTTAGTTGTATTATTTAACATGATTTTGAAATTAGGGTCCCGAGTTTAAGCATTTTTTCGCTTATTCTTTCGCTTATTCTTTTTGACTTCGAGTTGTGAAAAATCTTGTCTTTTTTTAGTTTGAGCTACATTTAGAATAAATTCATAATTTATTTGGGATTTATTTGCAAATATATTTTAATTTTTGTGAGAAAAATAATTTTTAAAAAAAAAATAATTGAAAAAAAAAAAAACTTGAGCTTTGAAATAGGGGTCAAGTGGATTTTATTATATTTAAAATAAACTCAGCTTTAGACTTGAAGCATGTCTATTTTTTTTTACCTATATATAAATTAATTATCTGACTAACACATAAATTAATTACTTTATTATATAAATATAAATGTAATTACATTATATTAATAAAAATTAAAAATATATATTATTAGTATTATATAAATTATATATTTTATAAATATGTTTATATTAATATAAATATATTATATTTATTAGTATTAAATAAATTTGAATTAATTAGAACAAATATATATTATAGATCAAGTTTAGGCATGTTTTGGTACGTTTACCTCTTTTTATAACTACTTATCTACCAACTTAAATCTAACTTGTTCTCAATCCACTTTTTAGTAGAAAAAATTAATGTTTGTTAAAGTTTGAATATATTGAATTTAATGAGTTCGGCTAAGGTTATCATTCTTAATATTAAATAAAATTATTGTTTAAAAATATAACTTAAGACTACATTTGTTCAATGGTTAGAATAAGATTTTAATGCGAGTAGTATTTTATATTCTATAAAATATGAGTGAAAATAATCTATTTAAGTAGTTCTCTAAAAGTTTAAAATGTATTTTTTTTTCACCTCTATTACTTAGCAAGAATGCCATTGTTATCACTGTATTATCAATCATCCCTGATAACATATTACAACCACTTGTTACCATAACGAAACTTCACACCACCTTTATTGCCATTTTCACAGTCGTTATTATTTTTTATCATATCACCATTATTGTTATTATCATTTTTATTATCGTTGTTATTGTTACAATTATAACCATCATCATTACTATAACCATCATCATGGTCTATAACATTACTTCATTTTTGTAATTGCTTATTTGCTTTTCCATTACTACCTTGACCATGTGTTCTTTAGGCCAAAATAGTTATACATTATTTGAAGCCACTAGCACCATTGTTGTCACTCTCACTATTGGAATCACTAGTTTCACCACCATTATCAACCCCATGTTACATTTATTATTATTGTTGAGATAGTTATTACTATTGTTATTGTCACATCATTATTTTATTATCAGGATTATTGCCACTACTATTGATCTTATTGCCACTATTACTGCTATAATTTTTATAATCACAATTATTTTTACCAATACTATTGTTACCATTATGTTATACTTACAGTTTTTGTTATCATAATTAGTACTCTCACCACAATCATCTTCAGTGCTACTATTGCTATTACTTAAAGAAACTGTAATATGATTTATAAGTTCAAAATTTTAACAAGAGACTAATTAAGTATATAAATAAATAACCAAACAACATTTGTCAGTAATATTTCAGAGAAATCATTTTGATGGTTTAAAAATAAATAATAAAAAAAATAACAATAACAAAGTGTCAATATAGAGATAGTTTCTTTCTATCTCTTACTACTTATTTATTTATAAAAATAATTAGTATATATTTTCACTGCATAACAACTTTTTTTTTTTTTTTTATTATCATGTAACCACTAAAATAATTGTAAGATAATTAGAAAAATAATTAACGGCCTATGATTTGGTGATCTTTTGATTGCCAAATGCTGGCAGTTGATATATATATATATATATATATAGTTTAGTTTTTATGCTATCGTATTCATCTTTTAACTAAGCATTTTGAAATATATGGTAAACCCATAGGTGACTTAGTCTATACTACCAAACTCACTAATCCTACTCAATCTACAATCTTACAATGTGCAAATGATAGTCTTAGACTCCATAATAAGAGAAATTAAATTCATTTTTATGCATGGTTGGGCACCATATGATACTTGGGTCTTCTATTAGCTTTTAAACTAACTTCAAATAAAAGTGGGTTTAAAGTAAAAGTGGTCTAAGATGTTTGATAAAATTTGTTGTGAGAAATGTTTTAATAGGAAATATAATATTATATTATAAATAGATTTATTTGTTCAATAAAATTTTAATTTTTTAAATAAAATATTTAAATAATTTGTAATAAATGCAAAATCATTAATAAACTAATTATTATATATTTATTTTAAAATATTAAATAAATAACTCATTAGAAATATACTAAAAATCATTATTTTAAAGAAATATTTTCAAATTTTTATTGTATCTTTTGTCACAACAAACAATTTGAATGATCTATTACATGGAATTTGGATGATATTTTAAATAAGATTTTTAACTTTAAAAGTATTAATTAAGTTAATATGATTATTGATTTATGACTTCCCAAATATTTAATAAACCCTAAGTTTTAAAGTTGAAAAGATAAACTAATAAAATATTTTAATTTAAAAGATATTTAAACATAATATTTTATTTTTAATAGAATTATTTCAGTAGAAAAAAGAAAATTAAAATCAATTATAGAAATACTTGATTAAATAAAATTCCAAATAGATTTAAAGCTTAACTTGGAAGGTTAAATATATAGGGATTTTTAGATTAGCAAAAAAAAAAAAAAAAAAAAAAAAAAAGTGGTTAATTACAATTTAAGGTTTATTAATTTAGAATAAGTAGGTATGATAATTAGATACAATTTTTGATTCATTGGCTTATCTTAAATA